TATTTGGCCTTTGGGAGGTACTTAGGGCTAGATGAGGTAGGGCATTATAAGGTTAGCTCCCTCAGAAGGAAATCAGTAGCTTTATAAGGAGCGGAAGACAGAGAGACCACCCTCTCCCTCTCAGGCACTCGAAGACACAAGGAGAAGGCTACTTGCAAACCAGAGAGAAGGCCCCTCCTTACCAGGAACTGAATCAGCTGGCACTTGGATCTTGCATTTCCCAGCCCCAGAATTGAGGAATAAATGTCTATTGTTTAAGCCATTCAGGCCATGCTATTTTGTTATAGCAGCCTGAGCAGACTAATACCTCCAAATACTGTTCATTTAGTTGGAATTCATTTTCCTACCCTCTGCTTATGGGGTCCCTACATACTTACCAGATAAGTAATAAATGTAGCTTGTGATTACCCAAATTCAGAATATTTACTGTGCAGTCAAGTTTCTGAAACCCATTTAAAGCTCTTCTCACTACGATGTATTCTTAATTATTTGAATTCTCCCTCTTATTCAGCTGAGGTCTGATGAAGATTAATGTATTCCAGAGCCCACAACACCAGACTTCATGCTGGGAGGTGTCAGATGATCTTACCAGTATGTAACCACCAATAAACAGCATGTCCTGGGGAAAGGCTAAATGGGTGAAATGTGCATGCTGTCAGGTGCTTGCAGCGTTAAGTGTTCTTTTAACAACCTGGTTTGTGGGAAGAGGAAGAAGTACAATGCGCTCTCTCTCTCTCTCTCTCTCTCTCTTTTTTTTTTTTTTAGAGACAGAGAACAGAGCGCATGCATGTGCTCACGAGCTGTCCGGAGGGGCAAAGGGAGAGGAAGAGAGAATCTTAAGCAGGTTCCACGCCCAGCACAGAGCCCTATTTGGGGCTCAATCTCACAACCCTGAGATCATGACCTGAGCTAAAATCAAGAGTCTGGATGCTCAACCAACTGGGCCACCCTGGTGCCCCAGCACAATGCTCTCTCTTACTAAGGTATCATGAATTCAAGTTGAGAAATCTATCGTATGAACAGAATAGGTCCATGTAGCCATCTAATGACTACCAGGAAGAGGAGTATTGAAGGAGGCTACGAATGAAGCTCCAAAAGGAACCAGGAGACTTTCTGCCTTTCTGCCTGTTCCATTATAGCTTCAACCTTACCAGTTATTCAAGTTGTCCTTAAAGGAGTCCTTGGGTGGAGCATGTGACTCTTTTTATTTAAGACTTATTGAGAGAGAGAGAGAGAGTACGGGAGTGGTGAGAGGGGCAGAGGGAGAAAGAGAATCATCTAGCAGACTCCCGCCTGAGCAAGGAGCTCCACATGGGGCTGGGTCTCACAGCCCTGAGATCACGACCTGAGCCAAAAATAAAGAGTTGGCCACTTAATTGACTGAGCCACCCAGGCACAGAGCATGCAACTCTGGATCTCAGCGTTGTAAGTTCAAGCCCCATGATGGGTGTAGAGCTTACTTTAAAAAAAAAAGTCATAAAGGAGTCCCTGAAGCTTTAAATAGATCTGTTCTCTCCATTTCCATTTGCAAAGCAAATGACTTGGTTTTGTTATCCCAATTGCCATTCAATTTCCTGAAATGATGGCAAAATAAGTTACACTGTAATTGTCTGGATTTCTTTGTAAAAGAGTTATCGGCAGTCTGCCTTCTCCAAGAGGGGTCCTGAGTCAGCAGCACAGGTATCTCCTGGGAGCTTCTCCAGTGAAGCATCTCAGGCCCCACTGAGGAGCTCTGAATCAGAATCCACAACTTATCAAGATCTCAGGACGAGGCACAAGCACATTGGAGTTTGAGAAGCTCTGGTTTATTGTATTGTTCTCTCCACCTAAAATAAAGTTACCTTTTTTGACTCATTAATAACACCTAGGGAACAAGATGAAAGTTTCCCTAGAAACATACCTAATGTGGCATTTTGATATTCTATTAATAATTAGGAATCACAGTAGGGTCTCTTTCTCCACACCTAATATTTAAGTCTATAAGTGACTCAAAAAAATTGTCTCCATTTTGATTTAGTATGAATGCGGTCTTGCTCACAACTGCTAAATTGGAAGCAAAGAACTGCTTCCTTTCAGGTTAATGGGTTTTCCCTCATCAAGCTGTCCTTCTTTCATGTAATCTAGACTTGCCTCCACTTATTTATTTTTTTATAACTGTTCTTCTTTTTAATAGGATTATGCATCCTCCCAATATTAACAGCAATTAGACTCACCTCATGGCGCGTCATGCCAACTCAATCTGCGACTGTCAGAGCAGGATGATCTTACTCTTGTCTCAGTAACAAACTCTGACAACCAAGACAAAGCAGCAGGCAACATACATGAAGAGAATTAACAATAAAGGATCACAGATGACAAGAACTTCTCAAACATGATGGCTGCCTCTGCCTGTTCCTACCACGTGGAAATAATGGCGTTCACTCTGCTAGGACCCAGAACACAGACACAGTCTGAAACCACATATTTTTCAGAATAGTTTTTAAAGAAGACTCTCCAAAAAAAAAATAAAGACGACTCTTTTAAAAGCCTTAGAAACATTAACATTCTCTTCCCAAATCTAATCTATTTAATTTTATTGGAAAACATTTACATAGCTCATCAGCAGACTCTCTAGTATTGAGTAATATTTAGCATGCTGTAATCACAGGAAGGAGAGATTTAGATTAAATGCTGCTTTTTATTACTATTCAATCATCATAAGTTGTTCCAATTTTTATCTTTTTAGTCAACAGATTTCAAAGGTGGGAAAATATCTTCATTTGCAGACATACCTGTATTTATCTCCTATTATATTTTCCATTAGTGTCTACATGAGATTTATTTTCAGTGATTCCTAACAAAGTAAAGGTGGATCTTCTAACCCCAGATGTTAATAATATAGCCAAATGCACTCTATCTCTTAGAGATGTTATGAGAATAAATCAGATAATATTTACAGGGGAATTTGACCTCACTAGAGGTAGTATATAAATGAAATGTGGGGAGAAAAAAAGCCTTTAAAGAAAAATTTCCTTCAATGGTAGCCAGATTAACTTGACTGTACTAAATTATGTTCCAAGTAAATAAAACAAGCCTACTAATAATGGTTCTGCTGGTTGTGAAGAAATGCCAAATACTAACCGCCAATTTCCAGGTTTAGCCAAATCCTCACGCATCGGTTTGGATATACCATAAATGGAGCTCCCTGTCTATTTCTGTATCTCTATATTTATTATACTTGGGATACTGGTAAAAACCAGTTGGAGCTTATGTTGGAGTGGATTATTAAAATTATTTTAAACCTCCTTCTACATTTAATAACATATAAGGACTGTTAATAAAGCATTGATGTAAATAGAAATATAAGGGCCTCTGTAACACATATATATCCAGACAAACTATTTTTACATTTGTATTATCTAGAATCAAAAAGAGATTTTAGCAGGATAATGGGCAAAGAAGAAATCATACTACTCCAGATCAAAAGGCCAAGTTTTCCTTAGAGTTACAAGGCAATTGTCAGTTATAGTCTTAGAATTATTTGTGGGGCAGAGGAAAGCCCCTCAGCCCCAGATATTTCTCAAACATCCTGCCAACATGACCCAAATTCTACCATCTTAAATGCTTCTGAGTTTAGGGAAATGACTCCACATTCATAGGAAAAGACAAAAATAAAAATTCATAGAAAAAGACAAAATTAAAAAGATAAAAAAGACATGCAATAATGTAATAAACCAACACTTACTGTATACCTACCATGTGCCAGGCACTATTTTCAGTGCTTTGCCAGATCCCTATCATTTAATTCCCACTGCAGCCCTATTAAATAGGTAGTATTATTATCCCAGTGGTATAGATGTGGAAACAGTCACACAGAGGTTAAGAAAACTTGCTCAAGATGACACAGGCTACAAATGGCATACATATCTGGACTCCCACTCTGGCAGCCTGCCTCTACGGTCCATGCTGGGAACCAATATGTTTTCCTACAAGTGTAGGAGGTAGCACCACACAATACATTACTGGTATTTTAAAACATTATTTATTTATTTCAGTAATCTCTCTTCCCAAACTCACAATCCCAAGCACACTCCCCTGACTGAGCCAACTAGGTGCCCCTAAATTACTGTCTTTTTTTTTTTTCAGTTCACTCTTTATTTGATGTGTGGTCACTCCTTCCTCTCCAACCTTGCCCCCCCCCCCCCCAGCCCGTAAATACTAGAGAAGCTGCACCAGAAGAGGACACGAGGCTGAGTGGAAATTACTGTCTTAAAACGAAACAAACAATACTTTGCAATGAGTGAAATAAAGAAAAACGTGAAAGTTGAAAATGTTTAGATTGTGTTTAGGCCAACTGTTGCATTTTCTCAGGAAAGCCAAAATTTTAATGTTAGGGCACGCTTCACCTTTCCATTTTGAACAGAAGACTCCTGAATAGCAAGCACTCACCGTAGCATCTTTTGTGTTGAAACTGTTCACCAAGAATGCAGTACTAGATAATGTGCCAAAAGTAGACACTCAGGTGGAAATGAGAAATGCAACACGGAAATGAATTTAAAGACATAAATATCAGAGGAGCTCTGATTACATACTGTGAGTAACTGGTATCTGTAACGTGACTACTAACTTCTGTAGTAAGAGGCTACCACGGATCTTTAAATGCATAACAGCTTCTTGAGACATACAAGATAAAAAAAGGCCTTTAAAATTGTTGTCCAATGTCAGAAGTATGTGCTGTACATGTTTTCTTGTTTTGTTTTAGCCCATAAAACACACAGTTTTAAAAAAGAGATGAACTGATATTCTGGTTTCCCTGCTTCTAACAGAACACCGCAATATGGTTAAGTACAAACCTTTCCATAGCAACAGACATTGTATATCAGACATGAACCCTATGTATCTCCCTTGAAGAAAGCTTTAAGGTTATAACAGACAAATTCAAAATAAAGCCTATGATCCCATCACCCTGAAGCCTGCTTCCCCAATGAGCTCAAGAAAGGATTCATTGACAAATGACTCACCATGGCTTCCTATAGCTCATTTCTTTGCCTTCCTTTTTCTTTAAATGGCACTTCAGCCTTAATAGTTACAAAGGTTTCAAGAGAGAAGACTAGCGCCACCTGAAAAAGAGAGGCCAAAAATCCAATACAATCATGGTTTGCAGAAGTTCATGGGGGGTAGTGGTTTCTCTACCTTGAGACCAAAGGCATTTCATTCCTGCCACCCTTCACTGCTTTATTTAGTGCTTTTCCACTCTACGAGCATTATGTGAACACTGACTGCCTGGTTAGTTCTAATTCTAAAATCGGTATTTTGCATAAGGGAAAAGGTAACTTTGGGGAAGAGATCTTGAAATGTTTTCCTAAGTATGGATAAAAAACATGCTATGAAGCCACTGAGAGTAGTGGCTAAAGAAAGTGCAAACTGGGCTCATAAGGATATCATTGCATATGCAAACTATAATTACACTCCCCAAACACTTGCCCGGGTAGAGTGGGTGCCTCCATTTGCTCACCCCAATTAGGCAGGAGGCACTGCCTAGGGCCGGAGAGTAATCTACCCACTATTGTTTTGGTGTGGAGAGAAGTGAATGCTCTGTGCAGCTAACATTGTGCTTTGTTTTTAACATGCAGAACTAGGCTTGCAGACGCTATTGACTGTGCTTAGGAGAGAGGAAGTTAATGATATGTTGTGAGTTTATGTACTATATTTCATCCCTATTCAGGTTTAAACAGCATCCTCCTCCAAATCTTCTCCTCTAAAGGTTGCAGGCTGAAAAGTGAAACAGATGGTCCAGTTTTATATTTCTTTTCCTTTAGAATTTCTTATGCAGCTCAGGGACCTTGGTCTTCTGGGATCTCAAATTATATTTCAGCCCATTATACATATATCAGTTTTGATACTGAGATGGTACGTAAGAATTATTCAAAATCCACATGGCCGCTGCCTTGGCTGTTTCTTAGTGTGCCATGTGCTGTTCATTTTAATTGAAAATATTCTAAAAGCAAGATTGATGTGTTTTCTATCCCCCTAAAATAGAAGTGGGTTCTGGGCTCATAATTGAGCACTCATAAGCCCCCTCTCCTTATTACCATGCCCTCTCTAATTTGTGCCTCTGTTTGTACAATATAAATGGCCTTTAACGGCCCTTCACTCATACAATGGTCTCACTAACCCAAAGAAAATTAGTAGCAGGCAAAAGCCTATTTTTACTGACACAGAGACAAAAATGCTAATTACCTTAAAATATTCTCAAGTGTATATCTTTGGCATCCTTCCAGGCAAGGCTCAAAAGTTTTTTTTTTTTCCCTGTTATTTACTAGTCATAGGGAAAGTTGTTTTTGTTTTATATTCAGGTTCACATAAGTAGGTTTATATTTATAATTAGAAATTTTTTATTTGGGGTCCAGTGTACCGGTGATAGGTGAAGCGTTTGGTTTGCTTTCAACTTACTCATGTGTACACTTGAGAGAGTTGCCCGTTTTCATAATTATGTTTTGCACTATTTTTGTTAAGGCACTCAGAGACATTTGCAGAAAAATTTTAACACCTAGAATTTTTAATTTAACATATTAACTACCACAAAATATTAACGTTTCCCCAGAATCTCTCTTAATCTTTCTCCGAAAATTAAATTTGTTTGTCCATGTTTACTATCTGCAGCACTCCTTTCTTTCCAAGATGGTTTTAAAACTGAAACCTTTGATGTACAAAATAAGTAATAATCAAGAAAATTAAATGCAACTTACTAAATTATAGTATCAGGTGTGCTGATGTGATACTGACATATAAATGATGAACTTTTTCATCATTTATGTGACAAATACTCATCGAGGATATATTATTTTCAGAATATCTTGCTAGGTCTGGCTATGTTTTTATAAAAAATATAAATAAGGTGGAAGTGCTCTTCTTTTTGAGGAAGTTTCAAAATCAAGTTTTGGGAAAAAATGTATTCGTACTAAAACTTAAGTAACAGTACAGAAGTATAGTAACATTGGAAGGCAGCAGAATATAAGAGACCACACGTTGGTGGAAGGGGAAATGATAATTAATGGCAAAAAACAAGTAGGGTCTAGCTCAATAATAAGCAATCAACTCAGTTTTTAAAAATAGGCAGAATATTTGAATAGAAATTTCCAAAAAATTAAGATCTAATGACAAGCACATGAAAAGATGCTCAACATCATTAATCATTAGGGATATGAGCTATCACTACACACCCTCCAGGATGGCTATCATCAAAAAGACAGACAATATCAAGTGTTGGTATGGATGTGGTGGAGACATTGGAACCGCTGTATATTGCTGATGGAAATATAAAGTGTTACGGCCACTTTGGATAACAGATTGGCAGTTTCTTAAAAACTAAAACATCAACTTACCATAAACTGCAACAATTCACTCCTAGGAATCTACCCAAGGGATAGAAAACGTAAGTCCAAACAAAGCTGCATATGTGAAAGTTCAGAGCAGCATTTTTCATAAGAGTCAGATACTCAAAACGACCCAAATGTCAGTCAGCTGATGAACAAAATGTGCCCCCACACCATGGGATACTATTCAGCAATAACAAGGAAACAAGTACTGATACACGTTACAACATAGATGAATTGCAAAAACATAAGATAAATGCAAGAAGCCAGATGCAAAAGACTCCATTTATAGGAAATGTCCAGAAAAGGCAAATTTATAGGCACATCAGAGATTTCTTGGGGCTGGAATAAGAAAAGGGATTAATTGCACAAGAGCCTATGGAAGCTTACTAGGGTCACGGAAATGTTCTCAAACTGGATTCTAGTGATGGTTGCGTGACCATTTACATTTACTAAATATCAATCAGTGTGTGCTTACAATGAGTGGTTTTTATGGTACATAAATTATACTTCAAAAGAGCTATTAAAGAAAAAAAACAGCTTAAGTGTCATATGTTTTCATAAGAGTGGGTGAAAGCCATAATCTGAATTTTTCATCTCTGCTTCGATGCTGAAATGTAACACGAATGTGTACCTGTGACAGTAAATGGGAAGAGTTCTTCACAGTTTGCAACGTCCCTTACAAGTTTCGGATTTATTTGCTCTTCACACCAATCCTGTGAGGCACAGGGAGCAAGAATTACATGATCTACAATAAGCGCTATTCTTTTTCCTTTTAGCTTTGCCCTGGGGAAACTTCAAATACTGTATCAATTACATAATTTAAAAATCAAGGCCTATTATTTATTTATTTATTTGACTGTGTTTATTTATTCACGAGAGACACAGAGAGAGAGAGGCAGAGACACAGGCAGAGGGAGAAGCAGGCTCCCTCTGGGGAGTCTGATGCGGGACTCGATCCCAGGACCCAGGGATCACGGACCTGAGATGAAGGCAGCCACTCAACCATAGAACCACCCAGGTGCCCCAAGGCCATCCTATTTATAACATAATCTGAATAAACCAGATAACAAACAGGATGGCAACCCTAAATCCTCCAGATGCTTTTACAAAGACAAGTATCTTCCATTTGCCAAACAATCCTGAACCACAGGGAAGCCCCCACCTGGAGGCTCAGTATACTGGCTGTTGACAGGCTTGGCCCGCCCCCTTGTCCAGCTGCCTCACTGAAGCCTGGGGTGCTTGTTCACTCTGAAGCATTTGCATCTACAAATATTGAAATGCATGTAATATAATTGTATATACAATTAGGCACACAATGGCTAACATTTACAGGAGCTAATATTCCCTGGCAGAAACAGAGCTGCCAAAAAAGCAAAAATGGAAACCAGTGTATTGATTTGGTTCACAGCAAACCCTTCTGTAGGATTTCTCTTGAAAGCTCAGAAGGAACTAAACAAACAAATCCAACTTAGCCTGAAGCAGAGAATGACATGTTTAAGAAATGTGACTTATAAACAAAATGTCCAATTATGGAATTGAAAATGTATATGGCATATGCACAAATAGGCTTAGATGAGTTAAAACCACCCAAAGCTCCCTTATTTTAATAATATGTTATGCGACACAGGCCACACTCGGTGGTCTGCAGTCAGTGCAAGATTTCGAGCTCTGGTGTATGAGGTCAGCCTCTGTGATGAGGCCTCCCCGTGCCGCCCACTGCTCAAGGAGTTATGTGTGGAAGGAGCTCTCAGTGTGGACCAGGCCCAGAGTCATCTCCACATCAAAGTTTCAGCTTGCCCGTCCCAGCCTCGCATTAGCTGACTTGGTGTATGCTACGCAAGGCCCCCACTTTCCAAAGAAGGCTCGAAGGCTTTCTGTACCTTGGTGTCCTTTGTCTCCCCACGTGAGCTCCTGAAATACTTTCACAGTGACTTGTGTTGCTTAAGGATGTTTCCAGGATGTGTGATCTAACACAAACTGTGCTTCTTGACTATGACTTAAACAGGCTACCAGACTGGGTTAGTCTAAACAAATGTACAAAATAATTTATTGCAGTCAATAGTTCATTTTGGTATTTTTAAGTTGTAAAAATTTCACATTAATTTATACAATGCATTACACAGGGTAATGGAAAAAAAAGCATGCGATTCGGGGCCAAGACACTTGTGCTGGGGTCTGGAATGCACCTCTATAATCCAGGTGATCTCCCTTGACTTGCAGGACCTCAGTGTTCTCAACGGCCAACAAATCATCTTTGGATAAAAGAGCCTTTAAAGTTCTAATCATGATTTGACAATCATTTCTTGAGATGCTGTTACTCTACAACATAGAAATAGTTATCTAAATAATTTCATTGAAGTCATATGTATTTTTGCCTTAACATGCCTTCTGGCCTTTTCTGAACGGACAGGATGAAACACCTGAGAATTTGAAACTCACAGGCACAGAATCCATTTGCACTAGGATAAAATGCCACAAAAAGTTGCGGTTTGAGGGTAAGAATGATAAAGTCCAGGAACCAGATATTAATTGAATGGTACTTCACAAACATACACACACAAATAAATGCTTATACAGGTGCAAGGAAGAGGTCTGTCATCTCAAACAGGGCTTTTATTTATTTTCTTTTTAATGAGTCTTAGAACACTATGCTGGCTTTCACACTCCCTTATGCCCTACTGTTCCTCAAAAGTGCTTTTGTGACCCTGACGAGAGTTGAAAGGCCTAACTTATTCCTCCATTGCCCCCTCAACACCTTTGTCCTTATTTATGTACTTGTCTTCTACTTAGTGTTTTGTTTGAGAAAGAGTACCTGGATAAACATCATCTGAAAACCACCATATTATACAACATAAAAGATTTCTGCGTTAAGTGCTGTATTTTCTAAAAAGTGTTATACCTACCACTTAAAATATAAGTCATCTTACAAGTTGTTTCAGCAAAAACTAAAGGCTGGAAAGTAATTTTTCATTTATAATTTTAGAGAAGACTATAAATGACATGCTATATTTAATTTTGGAGTCCCTGTGCAAATCATTAAATACTTTAATAACTATACAAATATTAATATTTGATACAAGGGATCTTCTAAATTGTGGCACAATCATAACTCTGGATTGATGTGGTGCTAAATGGGAAAATCCTGTTTAGACAGTTGTAGGAGAAGAGGGTATTCAATGAAACAAGTTTGATAGTCTTATCATCATAAAACTGGTATTTGGTGCAATTAAATCTTTGCCAAAAAGAATTTTGGGAAAAGGAACAGTCAGGAACGTGGAGTGCCACCCCCACTGCCCTCCACGACCGGTTCATCCATCTCTTCTATGAATGGTCGCTTGGTCTGCTGGTTATGACAAGTTCTTTTGGCACTATGATTTCAGTAATTAAGAGCTGGTTGTCACATAATTTTTTAAGGACATGTCAATCCGAAGGGTGTCCTTCGGATTTAAGTGATATAGTCAAAACAAACAGTCTGCACACATCTAAGCTGATTCTAAAGAGAGCAATTAATGGCTTTCTGTTTTTCTTATCTTTATGTGGAATCTTATTTTGTCCCAATTCCCTAACATTTTTAGATTTCCAGCGAAAGAGTTGTTCCAGTCCTAAATAAAAGACTACCCCACTTTGAAATTTTTTATCATTGACTTTTCTAATTTGTCTAATTGACCCAGACAACATAACAAAAAAGTAAAAACAAAACATAATCTTAGGGTCATTTCCCCATGATTTTGAATCTATATACCACCCAGACAGGTTCTTTGTTACTGAGAGACTTTATAAGAAATAAATTATTTCAGCCAAAGGATTTTCATTTCTGTTCCCCGAGAGTCTGTATTTTTCCCATAATAATAGATGGATTTAGATTCCTCTGTAAAATGCTTTAGGGACCACTGAGATATAAAAATGACCACTATATTGGAATAAAGTAGAAAGGGGTGATTTTCTTTTTACAGAACACCCTCCAGTAAATAACAGGAAGTGGAAGAGCAGCTGGTGTCACCACGAAGCTCACTGGAGAATGTCTTGGAGAGTCATGAGGAATGGAGTCATTTCTCAGCTGTTTGTAAACCCCATGGAGATGACAGCATGATACGCTCATCAGTTTGGGCTTGTATATCTTTTGGGTCTGACTTCCAGGAGGTTTAGATCATGGTACAAAGCAGAGTGGGGAAGATTTCCTTTCTCTTTGACAGGTGGCTCACTTTCTCTTTTTGTTTTCTTCCTGCAAAATAGCTATTGCTTTTTCTAGGTCCCGGACTATTCAAAAGGCAGGCACTAATGAACACCAACAAGCTCATTCTATAGGGAGCCGATACTTCCACAGTTCACACTCCCATCTACTTTTGTCCTTGTTATTATGGGAACCTGATTTCAGTGGGCAGACAGATCTTCCAGGACAGGATTTGGAATGATTGTGGGGCCATCCCCAGGCTTTGGAACGAAGCCACCTGAAGTCCCCATCCTGTCTCAACACACACACATGTCCCGGGGTCTCTGAGTTCACCCTGGGGAGAACAGTCCAGCACAGCCTGAAAATTTATACCAAATGGGATCCCTGCAGCCAGGTTTCAAAAGCATGTTGGTGGCTACAGCAGCAGGAGATTTGCAAGTAAACAGGCTCAGGGGGAAAAATGGGAATTCCTGACTATCCCCACCACCACCATTGTTTGTAAGAGTCTTAGAAAGAAACAATGATTCTGTTGGAAATGTAAAAACATTAGAGAGTTGGGGCAAAATATGATTCCACATAATGATAAGGAAAACAGAGAACAGTCAGAATTAACTGCTCCCTTTCTGATCAACTTAGGTGGTGCAGAATGTTCGTTTTGATTACATTCTATCACTTTAATCCTAAGGACTCAATTCGAATTGGTGGCAGGGCTCTGAAGCATTACCTCTCTTCCAACCCTAGCTAGCTAGGGTACTCAAGATGGTGATAGTGGTGGAGGTGGGGAGGTAGGGGGGTGAAGAGGTATCCTAAGCCAGCAGCCCACAGGACTGAACACCAGGACAAGAACTGAACAGTCAGGACAAAACACCTGAGAATTTGGAACTCACAGGCACAGAATCCATTTGCACTAGCATAAAATGCCACAAAAAGTTGCCGTTTGAAGGTAAGAATGATCAAGTCCAGGAACCAGATATTAATTGAGTGGTACTTCACAAACATACACACACAAATAAATGCTTACATACAGGTGCAAGGAAGAGGTATGTCACCTCAAACAGGGCTTTTATTTATTTTCTTTTTAATGAGTCTTACAACACTACACTGGCTTTCACACTCCTTTATGCCCTACTGTTCCTCAAAAGTGCTTCCTTCTCCTTAAAGGCCAGCTGGATACTTAGCTGGGAAGCCCTGAGTTCTGGGACTTTCACCACCAAGGCAGGTGGACACCACCCAGCTGTGGCGGCAAACCTGCAGGGCTGCTCCAGAAAGACAGGCACATGCCACACAGAAGAAGAAAGATCCACAAACAACCCCAGGTTCCCTCCACCCAGGTCTTGTTACACCTGGTTTCTCAACAGCAGATTGCTTAGCCAACCTTAATAATCTCAGAGGAACTGCCAGGGCAGGAGGCCGGATTCCAACTACCTTTGCCCTAATTTATTGAGGGCTTTAAAAGCAGAAAATAAAACTTTGAACTCAACTCATCTGAAGCTTTATGATTCAGGTGTCCCACTTGCCTTTAGGGGCACCAAAGATCACTGAAGTTTAAAGAGACACAAAAACTTCTGCGAGCTGCAGAACAGAAAAGCGTGTCCGGACCCGACCCAGCTGGTTCTCGTAGCACATTAACTTGGCAGGAGGAGCACAAGTCCCGGCTCTGCCCTGTTCCTTTTCTGATGGATAGCATCTCGGGGCCCTACCCTACGTCTCCCTTTAATCCTCCCTCCTCGACAGACTTTCCGCGTCTAGAAAGAAGTGACCCTGTGGCCCAGGGAGCAAAAGCAAGAAGGAGAAAACGTAGGGGAAAAAAGGAAATGAAAACAGCTTCTGAGAAATGGTTGCAGAGAAAACGAAGGCAAGGGTGAAGTTATTTCCATTCACATAGTATGAAAACCTGGGCGTTTAAGGAGCTGGTCCTGCAAGGAGCTGGTCGGTGTGACTTTACACCAACAGTCTATCAAGGCCGTTTCCTTCTCTGCCTGGCCGGTTTGGTTTGGTTTGAAGATTTATGTTCGGGAGGGGGGGCAAGGGCAAGGGGCTAGAGAGGACCTCAAGCTCACCCCCAGCCCCCCAGCCCTGAATCTCAGAACCCAGAGATCACGACCTGAGCCCCAATCAAGAGTGGGAAGCTTAACCCACTTAGCCACCCAGGCGGCCCCTGGGCAGGTATTAATAGCCACCCCATGGGGCTGCGTGAGGCCTGCCTGAGCCAGCCAATTTTTGTGGCTGTGCCCAGTCTGGGGCGCTGTCAGGTAGGTGATGAATTTAATTCTGAAACCGAGACCCCGTAATCATTCAACAGAAAGCCATATAGCGTAATTTAGAAAATTTTTTACACTCGACGTGGCCTCTTTTCGTTACCGGGAAAGCCAGGCCCCATAGGAAGGAGCCACTGTTGGCCTAGCCTCGGGTCAGGTGGACTTCTCTCCTTCGCCCCAGGAAGTCGAAGCTTCCAGGGTGCTCCAGAGGCCCACCTGGCTCTTCTCCCCGGGGAGAGAGGCCTGAAGCGAGGGCCGCCTTCAGCCCATCCTTCCCGCGGAACTGGGCCTGGAGCACGTCCCTGGGGCAGGAGGGGCACTCACTGGGATTGCTACAGCCCCGGCGTGCGTGCGCGCTGGGGTGGGGGCGGGCTCTGGGCTTGGAAATTACCGAGGTTCCTCCGGGGTCCGGGTTAGCCACGCAGAACTAGTGCACGTGCACGGAGGCCCTGGGAGGCGCCGGCGATGCCGGCTGTGCGCGCAGGCTCCGCGGGGACCCGGCCGGCCGGGCCCGGGGCTGCAGTCGCTCCTCCCCAGCGCCAGCTCGGGCCCGCGGCGCGCGGCCGGGGAGGGCGGGGCGGGGCGGAGGGGTCCCCGCGGCCGGCGGCCCCGCCCCCTCCCCCCTCCCTCCTCCCCCTCCCCCCCGGGAAGCGTCTAGAACGCAGGCAGCGGCTTGTGAACGCGGGCCGCGCTCCCCGAGGGTGAGCGCTGGGTCAACAAGGTTGTTGCCAGTCGAGTCGCGTCTGCGAGTTACAGGAACCCCCCCCCCCCACGGTGGATTCTTGGGGAGAAGGAAAGGCTTTGGGGCTGGGAACCCACGGACCGCCAGCCCCCAGCCCCCTCCCCCCCTTTACATCTTTGTGAATTTCTGGGTTGTGTAACCTTTGGAGCCTCTCCCTTGGGCCTGCCTGCCTGATGATCCTTTCCGCCCTCGTAACCCTCCACTTCCCACACGCTGGAACTGCTGAGGTCATGTGGTCAGGAGGTACAATTTCCCAGTTTTTCAAACGAGAGCTTTTAACCCAGAGACTGTGGTGCATGGCTACAGGGCGACATGAGCGCTTCTCCAGCCTGTGCAGCCTTCGGGACGGAACGTGGGTCGCTCTGACTTGGGCCGAGCCGGGTCCTCACCCCAGGGTGTAGCCACTTGGGACAGGTCACCCCTTATTTCTCCTGGAGGAGACAGCTGTGTTTCACCAGGGGTAAAATGATTTATGTGCACAATTTAAATAGTGTTTTGGAGCTCCGAGGCATGCAAAATGCAGCATAACTGGAAGGTACAGTATACTTAAGGGAAAATGTGGAATGCACTGAATGTTTTCTTTTCCTTCTTTTAAAGCTAGTTTAAATCTACTTCACTGACGAAACTGTTTAACCATGTGCAAATGTGTCACTCTGCCCTCTGACAAAGTCGGCCAGGGTTGGGAGGATCGGCCTCAGCAAGGCTGGGAGCGTGGCTTAGTCATGCAGGGCCTGCTCTGAGCCACATAGTTTCCTCTAAATCCAGAATTTGCTGAAAGAATGAAATGACTGCAACTTTTTAGGGATTCAGCCTTTCTTTACTCTCTTCTTTTAAATATGTATGTTTCAGGGAGAGGGGGCGTATATGTTTTAATTATTCTCCCAGTAGAGAGAGTTTGGGTTTTAAACGAAATTGGGTGATAATTATAATTGAGTACTCTCATGAAAAATCCTTTGTTTTTGCAGGAATTAAATGTTCTGGTTTGGAAATCTTGGTTTTGCCAAAATAAAGATGTAAAAGTATTTTAAAAAATTAGTCCAGCTGGAACCCCCACCCCTTGCCAGTGCACACGTGTGTGCGCGCGCACACACACACATACACACACACTAAATTAGCCCAAATGTCCATGATTGCGCCTCCAAATAATTAAATTTCTAGAGATGAACTTAATTTAAAATTTTTCTTATATGAGTATATTCTGAATCATTTCAGGCACACGCACAGGCAAATCCCATAGAGAGTTGTATAACAACAAACACCTGTACTCTAGTACTCAGTCCAAGAGATAGAGCATTACAGGTGTACTTGCAGTCCCTACCTGCCCCCATCCATGTGTTCCCCCAACACATTTCCCTTCCTCACATTCCACAGATAAACTTTACCCTGCATTTGGTGTTTGTCATTCCCATACATTAAAAACATTTTTCGTACACATGCATATATACATAAATTATAGTCAACATGTATAATGTTATTTTGCGTGGTTTTAATCTTTATATAAACAATATCATACTCCACCTACATTTCTGCCATTTTTAGATCACTCCACATTGTAATTTTGTGATATGCCCACCTTGATTACTGTAGCTCTGTTTCCTTCTTTTTAACTGTTGCCTAGATATTCACCAGGTAGATATCTGTGCTTCTGTTGATGGATATAGGTTGTTTCTACTTTTTCTCTATTATAAGCAATGTTGCTATGAACCTTCTTATAAATGTCTTCTTGAGCACAGGTGAAGACTTTCACCCAAGAGTGGAAATATTTCAGGACTGTAAGTGTGCAGTCTGTGACTTTATTAGATGCTGACTAATTGTGCTCCAGAGGCACTAGTTTCACATTTTCACTGTAGAAAATACATATTATAGATGAGAAGAAAAAAAGGAAAAATCATTTTCCATCTCTCCATTCAAAGAAAATCACTTTTTTTAAAAAAGGGTGAATTTTAAGGGCACCTGGCTGGCTCAGTGGGTAGAGCATGCAACTCTTGATCTTGGGGTTGTGAGTTCAATCCTAACTGGTTGTGGAGCCTACTTAAAGATAAATAAAAATAAAATCTCTAAGACATAGAAAAAGGTTTTTTTTGTATATAAACTTTCAAGTTTATTCTTCTGTGATATATATATTTAAATATATGTATAAACACCTTATGTATACATATGTGTATATACATATAAGTGTATAGATAAGATATATATATTTGTATATACTTAAAGTTTCTTATATACATGTGTATATACATATAAAGGTACGGATAGTGTGTATATATATATATATTTGTATATATTTAAAGTTTGGGAATCCTGTATTTTTAAAGTTTATATAGTAAGCATTTCACCATGTCACTAAATATTCATTTAAAAATGTGATTTTAATGGCTATAAATTAGTTCATTGTAGGAATCATTCTTCGTTTTTTGGGGTTTTTTTTTCATTGTTTTATATAATTATTCATGTGTTAAACATTTAGAGAGTACTTTCTTGACAAAAAGTGCCGTGATGAAGTACAAAGTGGTTATAAACAAAAATATTTTTTTATTTGTGTTTTATGGTAGTTTTTATGGCTTAATCAGTCTTCTTGCTGGACCAGCTAAAATCTTTAAGAATAAAATAAAACCCTTTAACTAATTTTAATTTTTTAAAATTCTTTTCATACTAATACAACTTTTTCCTTTCCCTGGTAAAGAAATGTAGCACTACTGGGGCTTGTGGGTGGCTCAGTGAATCAGGTATCCCACTCTTGATTTCAGCTCAGATCATGATCTCAGGGTCATGAAATCGAGCCCCGCATGCATCTCTTAGCTCAGTGTGGAGTCTGCTTGAGATTGATTCTGTCTCCCTCTTCCTCTGCCTCTCTCTTCATTTGTGTGTGTGCATACTCTAAATAAATAAGTAAATAAATAAATCTTAAAAAAAAAAAAAGGAATGTAGCATTATTTAGTGAGCCATTTTGCAGTGGATGGGCATTTGGGCTGTCTCAAGTGTTTGCTGTTAGGGAGCTGCTGTGTGAATGTCTCTGCTGATTTGTCAGGAGAGCTTCCCTGCAGCCTCAATCACCAGTAGCCAGTGATGTGACTAGACAAGTCGCTTTACCCTTCTGAGTCTCAACTTACATCATCTGCAAAATGGAGCCAACAGAGGTAATAACTAACATTTATTGAAGGCTTATGACAAGGCAGCGACTACTTTAAGTACTTTGCATGAATTACCACATTAAATGCTCACATCTCTTATCAAGTACATACCACCATTACTCCCATTTCACAGATAATTAAACTGACATTTAAATAATTAAGCCAGATTACAATTAATGAGGGGCAGAACTGTGATTCAAATTTGCAGACTCTGCCCCTAGAGCCTGCCCCCTACTTTGTAACACAGACTTTGTCATATTTGCCTTTTCTTTCTCCCTCTCCAGAATTTTTTTTTTCTTTTTGCTGAACCATTTTAAGGTTGTAGACATCTTGACATATCACCCCTAAAGACACCTCCATGCTCTTACCAATTTAAATGTATGAGAGTTTCTGTACTTTTACATCCTCATCAACACTTGGTATTGTAAGACTACAAATTTTTGCTAATCTGATGGGGTGTGAAATGGTGTCTCATTGTGGTTTTAATGTGCATTTTCCTGATTATTTATGAGGTCAAACTTAGGAGACCATTCCTTTTCTTCCCCCCTTTTATGTGAAATGCCCATTCATTTCTAGTACTCATTTAAAAAATTGGTTTGTTTGTCTTAAAAGCTTTTCTTTTTAAAGATGGAATCTAGCATGACAAATTCTTATTGTAACCTCTAGTTACTCAATGGCTTGGCATCACAAATAAATGGCCCATGGAGAATGAAGCTGAAAATAGAGGAATGCTTTTCTAAAAGCGGTGGCTTGGAAATTTGGGTTTCAAAGGTAGAAATGAAACATACGGCTTCATGCTGAATAGCAAAATATACCAATACTTATGAAATTTCCCAAGGTAAGTAACAGAAATAGAAGCAGTGCTATATTTAAGTAAGAGAGATGAGTTGAGTTCCGTGTCCTATTTCCCACCTGTCCTATTTCCAGGCGCTGAAGTCTAAGTTATGAGGATGGTTGGTGGAATGAGTTCCAAGTACGTCTGCCTTTGTACCTGTCCTTTAGACAGTGAGTGGACTTCAGTCATTAGTGCTTCAAGTCACTCCATTCCACCAGTACTAAGCGTGGAAAATCAATAGTAGGATCGTTTAATAATGCTCCAAAGACTTGAAAAGAGCCTGTTAAGAGAGGTTTAAACCAAAATAAAGGAACTTCAGAGTAAGGTGTTCCTGTGTTTGTTGTTATTTTCCTTTGGCTTCAAGAGAATTATTTGTAGCTATGTACCCCTGTTGCTAGAATGGAATTCGGCCCGGGCTGTTAATCCAGATTTTTCAGATAGGACAGAAGATAAGGTGTATTGGCTTATTCATGAGGCAGTGTAAGAAAATTTGAAAAGAAAATAAAGTATGATTAATCACTTTTCAGCATACAAATTGTTAAGATTTGTGCTTTCAAGTACAAATCACTTTGCAGTGATTTATAGCATTTTCTGTTTCTTATCTAAATGACTATGGAAAGTGGAACTCTTCTTATAGATGGGGTGAAATACACTATTTACTGCCCTGTATCTCATTATCTTCACTTCTCGGATGTTAGTTCTACGATTGCAAATGCAGGATATTTAGAAATAGAAGCTATTGTGTTTCATTGCTATTGGATCTATTTCAGATAATAAGTTTCCCTAAAGAATGACTTTATATCGTACCATGATTGGGATGGGTGTATATAGTT